CTGAGATATAGTTTTACTTGGAACTTCAGCCTGTAGCTATTTTTTTATGATGGAGTTTCATATGCCCCTGACGTGAACATGCTATAATTAAGGTTGTGTCAGGATTTCTTAACTGCCAAATGAATGTTGCCTTGTATGTTTTGCATCCTAGACTGCTGCATTTAGCAGTTTGTGGTCTTGATGGCATATATAAATGCTGACTAAAATCAAGTGAAAGTTTCAGATGTGTAGACAGGATGTAGCCATGTGAAACAACTGGACCAGAGGTGCCAGACTCATCTGGTTGGATTGGGACCGTGGACTGGAGCCAGCATGAGGAGCCAGTTGAGTGGGGTGCTGCATTCAGCACATGCCCTATGCCAGCTCCTTGCACCATGTACAGAGCAAGCCCTGGAGTGGTGTACTGCATATGGTGTGTGGGGCTGGCCTGGCCATGTGTGCCACACATGGCACAGGTGACCTGCACAGGGCATATGTTGTATGTGGCACCCCTGCCAGACTGGCCCTGTACACTGGCTGTGGCCTGGCCCTTGAGCCAGTGCTCAGGGCTGCGCTGGTGTGGGCACTGTATGCAGTAGGCACCCTGGACCAACTCTTTGTGATGTGTGCAGTGCTGGGTCCAGGCTGTGTGCAAGACTGGCTCTGTACAGGTCAGTCCAAAACCCATGGACAAGACCGTAGGGCTCTATGGGCTGGATCCAACCCGCAGGCCATGTTTGACATCCCTGAGCTACGTGGTTCAGGAAGGTAGTCAAAGGCCTGTGAGGGAAAATCAGTATTCATTTATGCAGACTAAAAGCAACAAAAATGGTTAGGTGGCTGGGGCACATGACTCATGAGGAAAGGCTGCGGGAACTGGGCTTATTTAGTCTGCAGAAGAGAAGGCTGAGGGGAGGATTTGATAGCAGCCTTTAACTACATGAAGAGGATGGAGCTGAGCTGTTCTCAGTTGTGGCAGATGGCAAAACAAGGAGCAATGATCTCAAGTTGCAGCAAAGAAAGTTTATGTTGATATCAGGAATAACATTATCACTAGGAGACTAGTGAAGCACTGGAATGGGTTACCTGGAGAGGTGGTGGCATCTTGATCCTTGGAGGTTTTTGAGGCCCAGCTAGATCAACGCCCTGGATGAAATCGTTTAGTTGGGGATGATCAAGCTTTGAGGAGGGGGTTGGACTAGATGACCTCCTGAGGTCCAATCCTACCCTCCATTTTTTTATGATTCTAAAAGCAGAGCATGTGTTTGCCTGTGCCTATGCATGTGTATGTGTGTATGCACATTCACGTTTGTGTCCCTGTCTCCTATGTAATAATATACGCCATGCTGTCTTAAGACATACTCCTTTGAGTTCTATGCAGGTAAACGATAGGCTTAGGATCAGAGGAAAGTAGGGCTGAAAGGGACCTCACAAGGTCTAGTCCAGCCCCCTGCTCAAGGCAGGATCTTCCATGACTTAACCATCACAGCCAAGTGTCTGTCTAACCTGTTTCTGAATATTTCCAGGAATGCAAAGCCCTGAACTTCTCTAGGTAGACTGCTCCAATGTCTTAACCATCTTCAGAATCAGAAATTTCTTTCTAATCTCCAACCTATATTTTCTCTGTTTCTGTTTGAGACCATTGCTTCTAGTCCTGTCCCTTTTGGCCACAGAGAAAAGGCGGTTTCCTTCCTCTTTATAATTGCCTTTCAGGTATTTCATAGTTTCATACTTTCTAGGGTCAGAAGGGACCT